CTCACTATGTAGTTCAGACTGCCCTGGAACTCACTGTGTAGCCCAGGTTGGTCTTGAACTCACAGTGATCCTCCTGCCTCAGCCTCCTGAATGCTGGGATTACAGGCGTGTGACACCATGCCCGGCAATTTTTCTTCTGTTTCAATGGTATTTATAATTTCTTATTTTGTATATTTGTGCTTTCTCCTTTACTTCTCTTCCCCCTGGACCCCGTATAGTAGTGTGGCACCACACACAGTTTTTATTTTATTTAACTAGTGTATGTTAGTAATAGAGAATGGTTCATTTTGGTAACTGGGTATATGCACTTAACATATCTTGCTTGGACTTCTAGGAAGATGGCAGAGTGGTAATCATCAACAAAGATTTGGAATCCAGACATTGGAAAATAACAAGTTGGGAAGAAAAGAAAGACGGAAGTTAATCCTTGGGACCCAGGAAGAAATCTGAAGGAAACATTGGAGCCCACAGAGAAAATGAAGAGACAGACCACAATTCAGAAAAAGGAAGGGGCAATCAGTACTTTCTCCCTGGCTCCTGGATTGTGGTGTGACAAAGAAAACAGATGACTCCAGAGACCTACACAGAGAAACACACCTGTAGAATGGAGCAGCGGATGCTGTGCCCTAAAACAGTAAGTGACTCCAGCCTAAGTGACTGTGATGTTCCCTGGAGACAAGTGCTTGGTCAGATTCCATTTTAGAGAGGGGCCAACTGAACCTGAGATTTGGAGTAGCTGTGGGTTAGCGTCATCTTAGGGCTCCCAGTATTGAAATCCCACAGTGACTGGGTGAGGGACAACTGTAGGAGATGTACAGGCTCAGGGAGTTGTGGTCAGGCTGGTAAGAGATACTCAAAGTGTTGCAGTCTGAAAAACTCAGGCCCCAACCCCACAACCAGAGTACAGGATCTGCCTGAACTTCTGAGGAGTTGAAAGAACCAGAATTCACACCCTGCCCTAATCTCACTTCAGGGTTGCTGGGATTATCCAGCAAGGATCTGGGCTCTGACTGCCTCCTTAATCTACCAGTGAGAGCAGAATCATACCCTGAAATGGACACTATCACAAAACTATAGGCCCCAGAAGATAACTATAGGCTTGAAATCACCAGAGATAAATTTTTTTCATCGCTTGTGGGCTTTTGTAGTTGCTGTTTATTTGGTTTTTTTTTTTGGTTTCTTTTTGTTTTTTCCTGAGTGTGAACACTGATCTTAGATTTCTGTTTTGTTGTTTTTGTTTCTTCCTTCTTTCTTTCCCTCCTTTCTTCACCAGTTCCTAAGGTTTGGGTGATGTTTCCTTGTCCTTTACGCTTGCTTCTAATCACTTTCTCTTCTTTTATTTCTCGATTTTTTCCTCTTAACCCTTTTAAATTTTTTTCCTTTAGGGTAAAATCACTCTACTGAATGAAGAATGCAAAGAAGACTAATATAAGATTAAATGGAATCAATGAAGAATCAGAAGATAGTATAAAGGGCATATAAAACCTGTTCACAGAAGTAATAGTGGAGAACTTTCTAAGCACAGAAAAAGAATTTGACATATAGATAAGTGAGACATATAGAACTCCAAATTGTCAGGATCAGAAAAAACTACACCGAGGCATATAATAGTCAGAAATTCAACACAAGAACAGAATACTAAAAGCTGTTACAGAAAAGAAACAAATCACCTATAAAGAACCCATCAGAATTATAGCAGACTTCTCAACTCAAACTATGGAGTCAAGGAGAGATTGGAGTGAAGTATTTCAAAAAAGAAAACAACTTCCAACCCAGAATGATGTACCCATCAAAACTATCTTTCAAACTTGGTGGAGAAATAAGATCCTTCCATAATAAAGAATGCCTTAAGAAATTCATGACCACCAATCCAACACTACAAAAAGTTCTGAAGGATATTCTAGAAAGAGACAATGAAATAACAAATCAATGAATCTTAATAGCATGAATACACCAGGTAAGGCAAGCAATTAAACAGAGGGGAAAGAACAGGAACTAATGGGAAAATAATATGACAAGGTCAAGTCAATACATATCACTTATAACCATCACTGTAAATGGTTTCAATTAACTGATCAAAAGAAAGAGATTAGCAGAATGAATCAAGAAACAAGTT